TTTCATAAAACAAAAAAAAAAAAAAAAGAAAATTAATTGTTACTGTTTTTTTTAAATAAAATCACTGATACCGATACTCATATTCGATATTAAAAAAAATAATAATTTGTCTTATTTTTCTTTTATTTATTATTATTAATAAATAAATAAACAATTTTTAAGGTAAAAGTTCGTTGATCTTTCTTGCATCAGAGTTCATTCTGTACAAGCCGATATCGCGATCAGGTTTCATATTTTAAACTCCAGTACTTGATACCTGGTTTTTTTATTAATTAGAAGTATTGTTTGCTTTTTTAAGTTGCTTTTAGTTTTGTTTATACATTTCAATCATTCGTAAAGTAGGCCAGTAGGCAAAAACCGTGAACGTTGGCAAAAGTAAAAAAAAAAAAAATACCTGCTTATTATTATTATTACTTTGCTTTCATTTGAAAATTTTTATTATTAGTTTAATCAAACCTAAGTATATTATTTTCAAAAAAAAAAAAAAAATCAGAACTTTGTGTATACTTTAAAAGTAAATACTATATAATTCAATTAATATTTTTTTTTTTTTTTGAAATAATTACTATACACTATAAACGATTATTGAAAAACTTGGTTTAATGTGGGACTAGAAAAAAAAAAAAAAAAAAAAATTACACATACATTACGTTAAAACAACTATTTTTTTTTATTTTTAAAACGGTTGTATGTAATACATTAATTGTTTTTAACGTAAAAAAAAAAAAAAATTTAATGTTATGTATGAATTAAATGGTATTATAAATAATTATTAACCCGTTATATACTATATATATATGTATGTATGTATATATTATTACATTTAAGATTAAATCATTGGACAAGTCAACCGTGAAAGATATTCAGATAAAATTAAATGATATGTAAATAAAAATAAATTAAGATTCCAACTTATTTTGACCGGTTTTTTAATGAAAAAAAAAAAAAAAAAAAAATACAATGTTTGAAAAAAGATAAATGAAAGTTAACATTGATATAAATTTTTTTTTTTTTTTTGAAGAAGAAACGAAACGCAACAATTTATTATCCAAAGCAGAAAAAAAAAAAAAAAAAACAAAATTTATTACTTATTTGTATTAATTTTAATTTCCATAAGAAATTTAAAATAAAAAAGTTTTAAACCTCTTGCAAAGGAAAAATTTTTAATAATTTAAAATTTTAAAGATTATTTACTAAAAAAAAATGATTTAAATAAAAGGAAATCTAACCTTATTAGAATAGCATGCAATTATTTTCAAATAAGGTATTAATTTGAGGTATAATAAATAATTATATTTATACTTATTTTAGTAAATAAGCATTAACGTACCTATTATTTAGCATTGAAACAATTAATTAGAACTTTTTACTTATTTTACTTTCGTGTTATAATTCCTTTTTGGGTTTTTTTTTTTTTTTTTGTATAAACGCTTTTGCAATAATGTTATCATTTCCATTTTTTTAATTAATGCTACTTTGTTTCGTACAAAAAAAACATTTATTTAAAAAAAAAAAAAACCGAGGACATTATGAACTTGCACTATTCAAAAAATTGTTTTTCATTATTATACATTATTTATAGTTTTAAACAGAAATGCATTGAAAAAAAATTGAAAAATAAAAAAATAAAAACAAAATGTTTTTATTGAAATATTATCTAGTTTTTACTAATTATGGCGGGATTCGATAGCAAAAAATAATTCGGCAGTCACCATTGACTTACATCACGTGGCTTCTTGTAGTTTTCATTAGGGTACTAAAAAAAAATATGGCTGATAAAAATGAGGACGAGGGACCTCAAAATTGTAATACAAATGCAAATGAATCTGTGAACAATTCAAAAATTATTGTAAAAGATGAAGCTAGAGAAGTAGGTTTATACCAGTTTTTATAATTTGTAAAATTTTTTTTGTGTAACCTATGATTTCATTACTACCTTATATTTGTAATTATATTGGTGATGATAATAAAGTTTAAAAAATTTTTTTTTTTAAAATGAAGTATAGGCAATCAATAATTTTAGCTTTTAAAAATTATAAATTGTTAAATTTTTTCCTGTAAATTCATTTCGTTCATAAATTGTTTTTTAAATTATAGGATTTTAAAGGAAAAATATATATTTTTTTAATTTAGTGTATATTTTAAACTTGATTAAATTAAAATTCGTTATTTAGGAAAAAATTATGGTAAGTTAAATTTGATTCGGCATTATTTATTTCAGGTTAAAAATAATGAAAATGAAATTGCGAGCCAACCGCAACAACTACAACAGCAGCAGCAGCAACAACAACAACAACCCCAGCCTACTATGTTTCAGTCTTTCATAGCAGTTGTCAAATCATTATTTTTGAGAGCCATAGTAATATATTTCATAACTTCTTTAATAAGGAAAAATACAGCACCTGTAGATTCATCTGCTCCAGTTAAAGTTCCTGCAGTTAATATTTATGATACAGGAACTGTCCTGGTAAGTTAATTATTTTTCAAAATGTTTTACCGATTGATAAAGAACGAAAAAAAATTTATTTTTACTAATTTGAAATATCACATTTTACAATTTCTGTTTTAGGACCTCTATATGTACATCTCAGAAGATCTAGAATTTAAAAATTTTGATGATGAATCATCATTATTTGGAA